TTGATGGTGATAGTGAGTAGGTTTCTCTACTTTATGATGGAGATAGTACATTCCAGTACAAGATCTAGATGTGTGTGCTTGTTAATGCTTGAATATGTGCAAATGCTTGTAGAGGGAGCAATGATGTAAGTGAAAATGAAAATATGTGCAGTGGTGGAAGAAGTACTCCGATCCTTTACTTAAGTAAAATTAGCAATACCACAGTGTAAAAATACTTTGTTACAAGTCAAGGTCCTGCATTCAACAAGTTGCTTAAGTAAAAGTACAGAAGTATTAGCATATAAACTTACTTATTGAACTAAAGGTAAAAGTACTCATTACACATTTCACAGACATTTCTCGTTATTGTATATCATAATATTGGATTATAATTATTGATGCATTAGTGTGTAAATCACATTTAATGTAGGTGGTAATGGGGGACTCAGTTTTAAGTAGGTCATATGCTTAGAATTTGAATTACTGTTGGGTTGTGAATTTTTCACTCAAGATCAATAAAGTCTAATTATGTTTATGATTTTTAGGATTTCTAGGATTATTTTAGTAAATAAAGTTCTAAAATAAAAGTAGTGGATTAAAAAGTATAATATTTGCCTTTTAAATATAATGAAGTCAAAGTATAAAGTAGCACAAAATGAAAATATTCAAGTGAAGTACAGACACCTCAAAATGATTTTAAGTACAGTACTTGAGTAAATGTACTTAGTAACTTTCCACCACTGGATATGTGTTTTGTCAGAATATTCGCCAGTTACACAATTGCGTGTGTGTTTTACTGAGAAGGGACATTCAGGTGAGTGGGGCTGTGTTTGAGAATGATGATTTGTGTATTTAGCAGTGCATCTACTAGGAATGCTGCTATTTAGCCTGGGGTCCTGAAGACCCATCCATATTTATGGACAGTCCCATTCTGACTGTTTATGCATCATTTTCTACACCTGCTAACAAACTCATCTTTTATTCACTGGTTCTCCATTTTATCTGTCATTAGCAAAGTGAGGTCCATCTGCCTTTCTGTTCTGCACTGCTTTAAAGTTGGATCCGACCCAAACGAATGGAGAGATCGGGGGGACAGCACTACAGAAATGCTAAAATGACACGTTTTCTTAACATAGGGAGGGATGTGTACTGATTTGATGTCTGAGCATTCATTTTTATACTTTACAACCACTTAACTCTGCGTTTCATATTCACTCTTTTGCTGTGGGTCTGTCTGTGTGTTTAATCCACTCCATTCACATTGTTTGATGATGGCCTTGACCTGAATACAGCAACTATTCATCTCTGTCCACTCTTTTTATTCGAACACATGCAGAAATGAAGAGTGAGCATGCACACATTCACTCTTTCATTCAAATGGGCACTTTATCCTCATGAAAAGAGACTCTTCACTTGTCCCTCGCCCCAGATTTTAGTACTAAAAAACACCATCGCTGTGCAGGAGGTGGGAACTTTTCTCTCAGGTATTTTGTCTGTTTCTCTTCTTTCATCTCCATGGACATAATGGAGATATGTTGAATTGTGTAGTGGTGTTTCCATACCAGCGCTTACTGAGCTCTGATAGGCTGGTTCCCCAAGAAAAGAGGCCGTGCTGTGTGCCGAACCAAGGACACTTTATGTTTATGTATGATGCATGTAAAATATAAAGAAAACTCTCCACACAAGGGGTTTTCATTTTTCTCTTCCACTCTGGGTGGCTGCTGTTGCACATCCTAACTGCTATATTTGCATTTGTGTAAAGCAGGACAGGAAGGGGGACATCTTGTGTGTTTGATAAATGAGTCTGCTCCCCTGGGTGCTGTGGTACATGCAGTAGTGGTGGGAGGGGTGGCAGAACAATGCATATGTCAGAGGTAGAGATTAATGGTGGCTTCTTCCCTTAGAGGTGTCTGCTCATCAAGCGAGGATACTGGAATAGCTGCTAAGTTACCTCTTTTGTTGCTCACTCGTCAAGGAGCGGTCTGGCATTTTTAACCAGCAGATCAGATTGTTATCACTGTGTATAGGTCTAGGTAAAGAGTTGTCTTCCACTGCCCTGATGTTACAGTGATGTACGGGTCTCTTCTGAAAAGTCTGAACTAAAATGCTCTGACATTATAGAAAAAGACAGAAGTAATTTCTCTGTTTGTGAACACCTGGTAGCATTTTCCTTTTTAAACAGTTAGACAGTGGTACATGATGTGCCTTTCCATTCTGCTGGGTGATGGTGTGTTTTTCTAGAATAACTAGGCTGACTATTTCATAACCTGGGATGCTGGCTACACCATTAAACTACCTGGAAAGACAGGCAACAGGGCTCTGTCTCACCATTATCTGGGAGCCACAATATTACGCATGAGTGCCAAATTATGGCTGGTTCATGCACACCTTTCAGAAAG